AAGACCAGAGCAGACAAGAACATCTAGGGCTCCCCTCAAGTGCACAATTGACTGAAGCAGAGTTTTCCACATTTTCCTTCTCATGAAGAATGTGGCAGAGTCAAACCCAAGAACCATCAGAAATCAAACCACTATGGTTTGGATGAAGGGTACAACCCAGTTCAGTGTCTGTCGCGGTGACTCCCAGGGAAAGCCTGTATGATTGTACATTACTGCCAAGTACCATTCCCTGCACCCTTCACAGGCAACTGCCTCACACAGTCAGACTCTTCAGTAACCCTTCACAGAAAGGTCTTTCTTCCCAGTCCCTCCTTGAATCAACACCCTACTGCTTCTACCCCATTCTTTGGCTATTTCAGAGAATCACATCCTGCTGTCTGCTTTGCGCTTGATGTCCTAATACCTCTAGGTTTTAGACTGAAAGCAACAGTGAGCAGTTAATGCCTTCGCAGTTTCTTTGGCCAGTCACGACCTTGCAGGGCTGTCAGATCTGCTGTCAGTCACCACATGTCCAGGCTGAGGAGTCCTAACCTACTGCTGCAGGGAGGCTCTTCCCCACCTCCAGGCCTGTTCCAATCCCGAAGTTTTCACACCAGGGGGTACAGCAGCAGCAAGGCCAGGGTGAGCAACACTTAAACAGTAGCATAAACACATCCCTCCTCAGGTCCTTCTCTATGGAGTTTTATGGTTTATTTTTACTGTTGCTAAACATGAACCTGGTAAGACAGACACATCTCCCAGTCCTTGCTCCTGCAAGTTCATGATCGATTCTGAGCCCACCTTCGCAAGGCACTGGGCACACCGTCTTACCCATAGCATAACGTCGTGCAGACTTTCATCTGTGCCGAGTTGGCTGCTTGTACCCAAGCTGCAAGAATGGAGGTCAGAGACAAGGAAGTCATGGGGAAATTAGGTTGTTTAAAAAGTGCTTTTAAGTATACAGTGAAAACAGTCCAGAACAAGCGACTCTTCTGTGAAAGAAACCAACTGTTTGCATGAGAACCGGCTATTTAGACAAATAATTGGATAACACTTCCCCCTTTGGGGCACAGCTTTCAAGAACATAGGCAAACCAGCTGCCAAGTGCATGGCCTGAAAGGCACAAGCACCAGCTACATGAAAAAGCATCCGACAGGAATAAGCACCAACACTGGGGTGGAAAGACAACCTCATTCAACCTTTGTAAATAGACCTTCAGCCTCATAGTGCCTTCAGTGCTGGTAATAAATGGTTATTATAGGACAAAGTGCCAGGCTAAAGCAATTTCTCAAACCTGATTTCATCAATATTTATAACACAGTAGCCACAAACAATTTTAATTAACATATTTATTCAAACAAGTTACAAGAGACCTTCCAAGAAATACATCATAACTAGGCCTCAGCGTATCAGATTTTTCCACTTAGCTTGTCTACAAGACATACTTCAAAACAGTACAGACTAATTAAATGATTACAGAAGAGAACTGCATGGGATGCAAAAGCAGTTTAAGAGCAAGAGATACCCTAGAGAACATTACTGGATTACAGCTCACCATGGGTTGTTCTGAAAGCGTCAAGAACTTTCCTGACAGAAGGCAAGTATACGACATCACTAGTAAACATTTCGCATTAACAGCCATAGTTATAAAGAAATTGAAAAAATGTTAATTTCAAATATTACTCGGCTATCCACTCTACCTATAAGGTAAAATCATAAATGGACTAACTCTGCTTAGAAGGTGAAGAAACACTAAGTCTCTAGAATTAACTAGAGCCCAATTCAGCAAACTACATATGCATGTGTTTAAGTCCTACTGACACTCATGGGGCTTACACATATTTCAGTATTACAGTGAACAAGAGATTTCAGCATGCATCTAAGGTTAAGTACATGCTAAATACTTGCACTGAATTGGGAGCATATTCTTCAAAGCATGACAGTTATATACAGTATAAGTCATCTCTTCTTCAGTCTTCTGCCCCATCAAAAGAAAAGCCTGTACTGGGTACAATAAATATGATATTGTCCCCCAAAGCAAGGCTTTTGGATATATTAAGTCAGACACCAACCAGTGTCAGAAAAAAAAAAGAAAAAAAAAAAAAAAAAAAAACAATAATGCCAGTGACTATACAATCCTGCACAAGATACTGGAAAAAAGCTACAAGGTATATAAATAAATCTTCAGCTTCAAAAATATTTTATTTCACCTACACTTAATATTTAAGTGCAAATAAAAAGAGCTCTGCAATGTCATCATCTAACAGCTCTCTGAAAAGCCTTCCTGTAGCATTGTTTTTGTCCAGAAGTCATTCATTTTGCTGTTTAATTAAATGAGTTCTACCATAGCAATGAAATCCATGTATCCAGGCAAAAGTTCCACATACTTGGGAATGAAACATTCCCATCTGCTCAGAGCAATTAGTTTTTTTTCTTTATATAAACCCACTATATGATAGTGAACAGAATACTTTTGTTTCATAGAAACAACTAACATTTGCCCACACCAGGCAAATGGTCTATTTACAGATACATTAGGACTGCCTAACTGACAGTGAGTGTAAGAGGCTGAACTCCAAGAAACATGGAGCTTAAAACGGCGACACTCTCTGCTGAATCGCCTTCCCTTTTAGGATACGTCTCATCTAGAGAAAAGAAAGACACAAGAGGTTAAGTACTCATCATCCTGAAGTGCAGCATATCTCAAGAGAGATGAAACACCACAAAACCCAAGTCTGCATAGCCCATTTAAGCAAAGGCCTGGTTCCAAGTTCAGATGCACCAGAACTCATTTATTTTTTTTCCATTATTAGAATCAGTTAAAGGAAACAGAATTACTCGGTTGCTTAGCTTATCAGCTTCTTCCAGCTCTTCAAGAGCCATCCCTGTAATATATTTATACAGGAAACAGCATTTTTTCACCTGAGATTCAGACCTAAAATACTGCTAGCTATCAGAAGGGCAAGAACCCCTTCCCTAGACAGGGAAGGTCAGCTCCTATATGCTGCAAGGTTACATACCAGTTTAACAAAAAAAGCTTCTGAGGTAGAATAAAGAGCTATGATTCCTGTAATTTCAGGTCTTTGTTTTTAATGTGAGGATTAGGCAAGATGCAAGAAAAACCTGAAAAATGGCATCTTTCCCAATCTTCTAACAGCTACAACTCAAAGCCTAAAAGAACTTTGAGGGACATAAGACTTGGTTATTACTGGAGGGAGGGAGTGTAGGGTTTGTTTTACTGTTGGGGACCAGGAGGGTTGTTTGTTGTTGCTTGCAATTGTTTTTTACCTGTTCTCCTACAAGGCCATCAGGAACCAGATGAACTGGCTGCTCATTCTCCAAGTTTCTGGCACTTGGATCAGCTCCCTTCCGCATTAGGAGGCGAACAGCATCCAACTGGCTCACGCGATAGTGCAGGCTGGCAGCCACATGCAGCGCTGTGTTGCCGTTGTAAGCCTACAGGAGACAGATACCACGAAGGAAAGGGAGGAACGTGAGTCTCAGGGCACTCACACTGCCACACATAAACAAGCCTGGATTATTTCTACAGCCCACAGCATCACCATACCTTCGCATTAACGAAAGAGAGACAGTTGGGCAGCTCCAGAAAGAGACGGATGAGCTCCAGGTTTGCTTCTTCTGCTGCCAGATGTAGAGCTGTGCGACCACTTTTTCGATCCTACGGAAAAATGAAGCTTAGCATTTTCTGCAGGTGCTTTACCTTCCCAGCGTGAAGGCACAGACCAATAAAACAGAAGGCAAAGTAACCATAAGGAGCTCTTGTGTGCAAAACATCTACTGAATATATTTGCACTGTAGTTCACCTACAGTTAATCTGACTATTCATCCTATTATTTAGAATAAGTAAACAATGGGCGGTCTCAGGAGTAAGGAATAGAACCAAAGTGTAAAATAATACACCAAGTAAGTGTGGTCCCGCACATGTCTAATTGAACTGGGAAGCAATATTTGATTAAAATTCACAGTTTGAGCAAGCTATCATCATTACTACTGCTAATATCTCAAAGTGCTTCCAGTGGCTTCCTTAAGACATAATCAACTGCTACCTACATACCACTACTATTAATCAAGAAATTCATCTGTCATATCCTTCCCCCATAGTTCATTTGCACTGGCAATATTTCATTGTTCTGAATAAATGCAGCATTCTCATTTCACTCAGGTAAATTGAGCTATCAGGCATTTAAAGCTTTTAAATAAATCTGCTTCCTTTGCAATATAAAGGCTGAGACATGGGACAGGAGAAAGGGACATGGTCAGCTCTTTACACAAAGCTGTGCCTTGACTTACTTTTGCTTCAACCGAGGCTCCCATTTGTATTAGAGTCTTGATGGTTTCTACCAAGCTTTTGTTTTTCAGCAGAAGTTCCTGAACCTCTGGCGAGTGAGGCGGTTGACAGTTTTGCAGTTCATGCAGCACAGCATTATGTGCTAGCACAGCACAATGCAATGCTGTCAAACCTAAACATCAGAAGCCATCATTAATGAACTGTGCAGAACTAATTGCCTGAGTACTTGTTTTTAAAAGACCACTGTAAGAGTTTCCTCCCTCTGCCAAAACCAAGGATGATGCCACAGTTCTAAGTAATAAGGTCTGCTCTCAAACAGCTCACCAGAGAGTCACTAGAGAAGTTTAGTAATGTTCTGTGAGATCCCAGCTAGTAAATAATGAAATACCAAAGTATGTTAAAGTTTGATTCTAAAATGCACTTTAGAAAGAGCCTTTACATGAGAAAAGTTAAACTCAAACAATTTTATTGCCAGACATTCTATATCCGCTGATAGATCTTTGGTGCTTAGAAATTTTAAACAGTGGTCCATTATAACTTATACTCTCTATTACAAACATATAAATTACTAACAGATGGGAAGAAAAAGGTCCTGACAGGCAGAGACCAACCTTTTTTTATCTGATAAGTATGCCACTTGTAATTTAATTTCAACTGTAATTGCAAATTGGCAAGACATACTCCATTTTATTGCTTCTCACTCAAGATAACTTTCTGAGCAGCCATAAAACATTATAACATCCAATAACTCTGTAAATTATAAATCTGGCTACTCACCATCATAGTTTGTTGCCTCAAGGTCCACATACTGATTGCTTCCCATAGCTCCCTTTTGGATGGCCTGCAAGAGAGGGAGCAGATGGGCATTTAGATCTAGGCCAACCATGTATGGTTTCCTCAAGTCTGTATCAAGTCTTGCTGCAATTAAGTTACAATAAGTAACACTATTAAGAGACTTACTGTTTTAGTATACTGCAGGATTTCACCAAGTTAATCCAAAATGTTAGCAAGAATCTTAAACTCAACACCACTTTAAGCCATTACTGTGGGGCCTTAGACCATTTTTAAGGCCACACAGAGAGAAAGACACAGGGAGGAGTTGAGTTTTCCAAGTTTTCCAAGACAACTAATAAAAGTTTAAGCATCATGGGTAAGGAACAGCTACATGATTCCTCTGATCCTCACCTGAAGGACCTGGGCATGCCCCTTCTCAGCACAGACATGCAAGGGCGTCCTACCCCAACAGTCTGTGGTGTTGATTTGAGCCCCCAAGCTAACCAAGTCCTGCACAATGAGATGCTGATTGGCAGCCACAGCCACCTGGAAGGCACTCTGCAACATAAAAAACAAGCCATGAGTCATCTGATCTCTAACAGGAAGCAGCAACTAAAACAAATATAAATCCTAGGTGCATGGCACTATTTAAGCAGTAATTAGTGATACCAGGAAGCCAGGACAAACAAAGTTGAGCACAGTTTTACCAGCTCAAAGTGATCGCCCCCAAAATTGTTAATAGCTCCAAGGATAGCACTAGAATGTGCGCTAAATCTCGGGGTTAATATTAAGAAAGCATTTAGCTGCACGTTCCTCAAGGTGCCCAGAGCAGGTGCCCCAAGCTCACCTGGCCATTGTGCTCTTTAACATCCAGCATGTGCAGGGCAGCCATCTTCCTCGCGAGGACATAGGAGAGCGCCCGCCGACCCTGGGCAACAGCAATGTGAAGGAAGCTGCAGGGAGGGAGGGAAGCGGTTATTACACAGCCGTAGGAGCAGGGGCTCCAGTCAGAGACGCACGGGTGCGTTATGCAAGGGCTGTTACACTGCCAGCTTCAGACAACTCATTCTGGTGACTAAGATGGGAAAACAGGCACATTCTTCCCAAGGCAATTTAAGGCATCTAAATTAGAATCTTTTTTCTCTCCGTTTACTAGATAGAAATCTAACAGCAAGTGTCTGAAATTAGATGGTACAAATACCTTATCTACTAAATGTGCTGCAACTCTGTGCATCACAGCTTGTCAGCAGGACCGTGCATTTCATTTGATTACAGAAGCTTGTGCACTCAAACCAAGCAATGTTAATGAACAGCTTCCAACACAACCCAATGCTCCGCCAGAAGTTGCACAGGAATACCCAGAGCTTCTACTTCAGAAATGCTGAGACAACCAGTACTCACGTGTCTCCATCCGCATCTTTTGCGAGGAACTGATCTTGAGAGATACCGGCTAGTTTGTTCTCTTCCTGTTCCACTTGCCATTGAAAGAAGGACTTGCCTAGTTGGGCTGTGCTTCTGCCAGAGTTTTGGTGTGTCAAGGAGACATTCAGAGCAGCCAGGGAGATGCTGCGTTCAAGACCACCACAGATATTGCTGGGAACCAAGCTGAAGCTGGGAGCATGTGTGCTGACATCAGCCTGCAGGTGAGCGCTGCTCAGGGACTGCAGGGCCGTGGATATGTTCTCCGAGCCTTCGGAATCATTCAGGAGAGAGGAGAAGCTTTGTGAGGCACAGTACTGCAGCTCGTGGCTCTCAAAGGTGTTCTGCTGGTAGCTAGGGGACTGCTCACTGGCAGAAAAGGGCCTGTACTCCAGGGAGGGATCCGAAGGGAAGTTCTGTGACAAATCCTGGCTCTGCGACGCAGGAAACTGGTAATGCTGCGGAGGATCAAGCAGGTGCTGGGAGGGCTGTTCTTGGAACGGTTGGTACTTCTGGGATGGGGAGAAGGCCTGTGTGCCTGGGCTGTCCTGGTATTGCTCCCTGGGTGAGGGATTAGGGCCAGAGACAGGGTGCAGCCAGCTAACCTGCACCGTGTTCAGAGAAATGGGGCTCGACTCATTTTTGATGTTTATGATATTCTGAAGCAGATCAGAATTGCTGTCAAGCTTTGGCTCGTTTTTATGAGTCTCCTCCATGCTGTCCATAGAAGTTGGTGTCTGAGGTGGTGTCTGACAGAAAAATGAAAAACAACCCCCCCAAGAACTTAGATATTGTTCAGGTGGCAATTTCTGGTTACATAAAGCAAGCAAAAATAAAGCTACAGTAAAAATCAGTAGGTTTACCAGGAGGTGTGGATGAACAGTAGCTTGGCGTTTGTAAGAAGATCCATCAGAAGGATGCTCAGAAGCCTTTCTTTTGCCACTGTGGCCAAGTATGCTTTTGAGCTCTGCTGAAAAAAGTGAATTTAGTATCAATTTTGAGGTTACTCTTAAAACCTACTTTTAAAGTATTATTGTGGGGGCATTTAAGAAAGGTTTTGTACCTGTGTACTGTTCGTAGTTCACTAATCCTCCTTGTGCCTATTGAGAAAAATAGGAATTATTCCATTATTACAGTGTTAATTCAGGAATAAGAAAACAAAAGCTGAGGTTTACTTCTATAGACCTAGAATATACCTTAGAATAATTCTAAATACATGTTTTTTTAAAACCGTAATTAAAAGCAATTGCATTAAAGTTGGAAAATAGGAAGAGTTGTCTAGAACTTGAATGAAAACCACCATTTTCTTAAGGCTTTGAGCCATTTCTTACAACACTACAGAACTAAAATTATCTAGAGAAAAGGCCCTGCTCCTTAGATCAAATCCTTAGACTTTACTAAGCAAGGCTGTAATTTTCTCCTTCATCAGTATGTTTTCTTCAGTACTTTTCTGTATGGAACAGCCCCCACCCCCAGCAACAGTTGTCTAAGAAATCCACTCACTCAAAGATTATTCTAAAGAATCTCCCTCTTGGATCTTCCCAGCTTTTCCTCATATTTTCCCTTCATATTTTCTGCTCTGCCACCACACTGCATGCCTTGCACAGCATGGAGGAGTGCAACAGCATGACAAGCTCTTAAGCAGTTCTTTGAAAAAGCTCCCTACTCTCGTAATGAATGACCTCACACCTGTCAACAGGGAGTTTTCAATGTTTCACAATATCAACACATCTATCTGAACTCCCTTTGGAAAAATAAAGCTGAGCAAGAACATTGCAAACTGTCTCCCCCTCCCACAGCAAACTCTTACTAATTTCTTTCTGGCTCCTTTTCCATTACGCATTGGAGAGGAAAAAAACTGACTCCATCCACATCAGATAAAACAGTAAAAACGAATTTACTGTTATCACATGCCTTCTTTTGCCAACTTGAGGAATCATTAAACTCAATTATGTCAGTGCTGAAAAATGTTCATTACCTTGCATTCATCAGTAGCAGAGCCTGAGGACATCTGTTTGCTGCTTCTGAAGTGCAGCAGCAGCTCTTTCACCGAGTTCTTCACACGGACCCCCTGGAAAGGTCCTCTGTGTTGCTTTCCTCCCCCCATGTGTTGATCAACTGCTGTGACATGAAACAAAAGTTGACGCTTAAGCCATCAATACAAATTCCATGAGAAGAAATCATAAAAAGCTTGCAGAAAATAACCTAGAACTTGGCTTTCAACTAAGAGGAGAGAATCCCCTTGAAACAAGATGATCATCCAAAGAAATCCCTCGCCCATTTCCGAAGTGTGCAACTTCCTCCAATTTAGTCAGCCTGGAATCTCCCCTGCCTGGCTCTTGTTGGTAAAGGGCTGGAAATATGAAACCAGCTCAGCATTCACATTAACGCTTAAAGAACACCGCTTTGGTGAGCTGCTTTTGCCTAACATGGAAATAATTGTTAATTACTCTTGGTTTTGATGCTCATGCTGGATAGTCCTGTCCTGTCAGACCCTGCTTGTCTCAAAGCTCAAGCACAACACTCCCCCAAGTGACCTCTGCTGTTTCATAACTTCTCTGAGATCGGATTCGTTTTGAGGTTTTAAAAAACAGAAGTGAAAGACCGGAAGCCATGACTTCATGCACACAACTTGAGCCAAGTAAGATGACTCAAGAAGGAAAGTACAAGGTTTAGAAGATAAATATTAGATGCACAACCACACACGACATGGGTGCTATGAATATATAGATACATACACACACTCATACCTGAAAAGAAGAGGAAAGTGGAATAAACCTCAGAAAAATTTCAAAACGTGACAGGTCAGAGATCAAGTCCCAAATTACAGAGCCTTCTGATATTAAAAAAAAAAAAAAAAAAAAGAGAGAAAGAAAGAAAAAGAGAAATGAAGTAAACCACCTCTCTGGGGGTTTTCTTGCACCTCACCACAGCCAATGCCTCATCACAGGGTATATGCTGCAAAGAGGCTTTGATGCCAAAATAGAGATCACTCTCTTCATAGAAAGCCTCTTTGGGACTTTAAGAAATTAGTTGTTTTTGGCAAACAAAAACCTCACAGTAAAGCCCCGGAGCCTGGGAGACGGAGAAGCCCCTCCGCATAGGGGAAGGCAGAGGTGGGACATGTCGGAAGCCAAACCAACGGTCGCCCCAACGGTCGCCGCCCGCCACGCGGGCTGGGGTCACGCCGTACCTTGGATCGCGGGGCGGGGGGG